TTAGTGAAAATAAGCATTTTGTTGACCAGTTCACTGTGATGTAACTGTTTGAGATCTGTGTGATTCTCTCCAAATGAAAAAAAGTTGTTTTCTATGCAGCTATAAGATTGTTTTAGGGTCGCGCACATTTATTAAGGATTATTAAAGCATTTTACGAGGTCAGCCTCTGCGATCATTAATGGCAGTAAAAAAAAAATAAAAAATAAAAAAAAAAACGAAAAAAAGAAAAAAAGAAAGAAAGGACAAAAATCTGAATATTGATCACGAACATGCACAAACTAAATTGCGTACAATAAAATGCATGTAAATAAATTTTAAGAAAATGAATTGATTCTGCTTTGTTTGTTGTGCTGGATCCGGATTTTGATCGAAACCACACGTCCATTTTCCATTGAAACACCAACCTACAGTTACATGGAAACTCAGACCTACCTGTTCAGTATTTATGCGTGTATAGCAAGGCTGATTTACTCTTGCTAGCTCATGAGCATAAGCAACATAGGCAAACACAATAAGGTGCCAGATTATTTAGCGCCTTTTGTTGAGAACCTTTTTTTAATAAGAAAAGGCACCAATTATCTCTGCTTACCGTGCAGCATGAAATTTTTGCGGGTTCCAAGTTTTGCAATATTCGGCGGTTTTTTCCGCGATCCCATTTACTCCGCTGGCGATATTTTTCACACAAGCATCACATGTAGAATTCGGTCGATGAAATTTACTTAAAACGTCTCTTACGTTCAGAATGAAAGCGATGAAATAACAAACAAAACCTTCAGAAATAAAATGATGGAATTGCCGTTGGTTCGCTACAGGTGTCTAAAAAATTCTACAGAAAAGGATCATCTGAAGGTTCTATCAGCCACACTTAAGCCCTGTAAGCAAGATGTAATTGTAAGAGGGTGACACTGATTGGCGTGTGTTTCATCTTTGCCTGTTGTTTCACTTGATGTGTGCATTGTAGGTTAATGTTGAGAAATAGAACTAAAATAAATGGTCTGTTGTAATTCAAATTAAAGGTGACCTGAAAATCACAAAAAATTAATACCCAGCAAGAAAAACCGGTCAATCACAATAGCAAAAACTTGTTCCCGCACACTACAAAAAAAAAAAAAA